TACAGTATCCCGAAAAAGGAGGAGGTAGGAAGTCAGTGGTGGGTTTTAACGTGGTATAAGGTATTTGATTGAGGAAGAAGGGTGGAATTGGGAAGATGGTGATGGAAGTATGATGTTTGAGAGATGCAGGTGGTGTTCACCCGATAATCTGTTGGGGTGGGGGTATGAAGTGGGGTACTATTGTTTTTTCTTTTATTTTTAAATTAAAAATAATAATTATAACATTAAATTAAATGGAAAAGAAATACAAAAGGGTATAATAGTCATTTTATGTCTCGTAAGGGATGAAGCACACAAATTTAAACTAACGAGGGATGAAACGTGCAACTATTAACCAAACGAGGGACGGTCCGAGTTAATTTTTGAAAATAGGAACTAAAGATGTTTTTTTGACAAGAGGGACGTGTAATTTACCCGATTTGTTACCATCCCTTATGTGTTCTTATGACATATAACATGATACATCTTCCTCCAATAATTTGAAGACACTTCATATTGGAAGTAGAAGTATTTCCCTTATCATCATCAACCTGTCAACCAAAAAAATAATAATTAATTTATTACAAATTAAAGGGATATATACATTAAAGTCCCAATATTTTCATCGATTTGACAAGAAAGTCCTAAACTTTATTTTTTTGACAGTAAAGTCCTAATTACCGGCAAATTTTAACACATTTACCATTTTTTCCGGTTAGTCGGTAATTAGGACTTTATTGCCAGAAAAAAATAGTGTTTAGAACTTTTTTGTCAAATCGTGAATTAGGACTTTATTGTAAAAAAAAAAAAATTTAGGACTTTTTTTTCAAATTGTTGAAAATATTAGGACTTTATTGTATATATCCTTTTCTCAGGTTAGACTATCATACCATTAAATTTTCTAATATTTTCAATGATTTGACAAGAAAGTCATAAACTTTATTTTTTGACAGTAAAATCACAATTCACGATTTGACAAGAAAGTCCTAAACTTTATTTTTTTTGACAATAAAGTCCTAATTACCGACTAACCTGAAAAAAGGATAAATGTGTCAAAATTTGCCGGTAATTAGGACTTTACTGTCAAAAAAATAAAATTTAGAACTTTCTTGTCAAATTAATGAAAATATGAGACTTTAGTGTATATATCCCCAAATTAAATTGTTATTAAACATGATAAAAAAAAATAATATTAAAAGACCCATAAGAAAAAGTATCGAATTATAACATTAGGTGGTCATCTGTGCTAAGATATATTTGTATTATTTTCATATTATTTTTTTCACTATTTGAAAATTAAGTTTATATCTTTATTATAATTTTTTTATTCAAATAATAAAAACTCACTTTTACTAATACCAACCCAAAATAAGTCAATAAATACATAGAAGAACCAATTCCAGACACCCTCTTAATATACATAATCATTGAAAGTAAAGATATTCGATAATATTAATTGTAACAACATTTATAACTAGTAGGAGATCCATGCTTTGCATGGGTCGGTAGTCGTTTGTTAGAGTTGTTTTGAATTTATAGGTTTTTCCATTATATTTGAGGGCAGTAAATAGTCATTTCTTACAGGAGCATGGGACAGAAGGATATTGGTAAAAACATCTATGCATGAGCTGGACGAAAACAAAATAAATTAAAACAATATAGCCAACATCTTTGTGAACTCTTGTTTTGCTTTTCCTTGCCTCAGGCACCTCTCCTCAGCCTCCAATTCCTTTCTTTGCATCAGATACTACGAAAACAAATAAAAATGAGATCTAGAAAAGAAATATCTATATAACTTGCATATACATCATGGAGCCACTAATGAAAGGTTTTACCTTATTGAATGTATGCTTTCGCTTAATAGCTGTGTTTAATGCACCATATCGTTTATCATTTATGATCACTCTAATTGCCTAATATGTTTATGTTAATCATCAATAACAAATAGTGATTTTTTTTTAAAAGAGGTGCGGGCCAGCAGCAAGGATACATGTTCCCAGTTTCAATCAGCCTCAACATTTTCAACATTGATGGGTTTTGATATTTTACTATTTGCTTTGCTAACATGAGTAACATCACATGGTAGTCCATTCATAATGTCTAAAACCCTTTATCTAGAAAGAAATTACCCATAGTACGACTTTGCATATAATAATAACAAATCCCTATTTATTTTACGATACTAAAATTAATTTTTGTAAAAAAGGTAATTTACCTGACAGTCACCACCACCACCAACAGGAGCAAGAATGCAGTGACGGATAGAAATGGAAAAGCTTTATCTTAAGGAACAAAACAACCCACTTGTGGCATAAGAATGTTCACACCAACGTTGTAAAAATAATTTCAAAATTCATAATTACAAAATCGTGAGCTATTTTCATATCCAATGTTAGATTTTCGTATAGAATAAAAAGAGCAGGATATAAGAAAAGATTCAAGATTCTACTTCTATACTGATATGGGATAAAGTTCCTGCCAAATATGGTAACAAAAAGGATGGAAGAAATCATGTATACCGAAACTGTATAAGATGTTTTGAAGGACTTCCTCTTGCTTTTATACAGTACATGGAGGGGTTTTTCGTAATATTCCTCCTGCTACCATCAAAAAGATCTAAAGGAAAGAAGAACCGGAAAGTTAGTTACATTGAGTTCAAATCCAAAGTCAGTTCCATTGTCTCTTGGTTTATTAGATGAATTATTGAAAGCTAGAAGATTTGTTGTTGATCCTCCACGGGTAGGCCACAATTTGATTCTTGGAGATGTTTTGTGGTCTGATCCTTCAATGAAACCTGGCCTATCTCCAAATAAAGAAAGAGGTATTAGCTTTTTGTGGGTTCCAGACTACGCACAAGAATTCTTAAAGAAAAACAATCTTAAGGTAATCCTATGAATCGATTTAATAGTATATATATTGTTTGAGAATATGAACTAAGTTAATAATAGAAATCTTAAGATTTATTGCAGTTAATTATTAATAAGCTCCTGATGCAAGATAAAAAAAAAAGGTCTGGTCTTGGAGGAATGGATGAAGAGACCACGTGCTCAACATATCACAATTCCACTAACGATTTCCGATTATCCAAGCACATCCACTGACGCCTCCATCATAGACTTCTCTGGTACAACTAAATATGTCTCTGGTGCAATTGAGGGCGTCTCAGGTACGACCGAAGGTGTCGAAGTAGCGGAGGGGACCATAAAGCCCTAATAAAAAAAGCAAGAAGAAATTATAACCCTCAATATGGGAAACACAGGAGAATATGAGAAGGAGAAACAGACGACGGTATTGGTTTGGGGCATGTTAAAAAACCAAATCAGGTGTCCGGTTCACCAACCTCACAGTCGCCGGAAACACAGATAGAGCCGAAAACCCACATAGAACAACCACCACCTACAAATCGCACAATTCCTAGCGGTAAAAAACCAAAATGGACGGTTAATTTAGGGAATGAAATTGTTGAAGGAATGTAGGTAACTGAAGCCGATCATGAGGCTGTGGATTATTTGTTCTCTATCGGCGACGGCGGTGATTTAGAATCAGCGCTTTGGTGAGTCGGAAGCAGAAAATATGGAAGGTAGAAGCCAATACCATCGACCATCTAACCCCGGTTTAAACCTGATGAGTGAAACGAAAGCTTGTGAAATTGAAAAAAGAATGCGAAATCGGAGAAGGAGGCGTCAAGGAAACCAATGTTCATGGGTAGGAGAAGGCGGTGTAGAAAGAAGATGATGGTTGAAAAGTGGATGAGAAATAGGATAGAACAATCGGGAAGATATTGTCTGAGAGAGTCGGTGGGGAAGTTCAAAGATGAGGCGGTGACAAGATCGGTGAAGGATAACCACGTGAAAGGCGTCGGGAAAAGACTATTAACAAAACAGAAAAAAATAACCAATTAGTAGATGACACTGTTCATAAAGGAACAAGGAATTAGTATATATATATATATATATATATATATATATATATATATATATATATATATATATATATAGGGAGGATCATTTAAGAACTTATAGTTTCCCGAGAACCCGATAACTAAATTTAGACGATTAGATAAAAAAAATAGAGGGTTTAGATTTCTTATGGCAGTTTTGTAAATATCTGGAAAAAAAAGACACGGGGGCATCTAAATTTTTTAAGTCAGGGGTGAAATTGGCATATGAAATAAAATTCATCCTAAAAGCTACCAATAACGTCGAATCTCATTCTCTCTCTCGCTCTTTGTCTCTCTCTCTAAAACCAATGTCGTACCTGTAAATCGTCGTCGATGATAACTCACCGTCTCTCTCTTTGTCGTTCCTTCATGTCGTCGCATCGCTTCCCGGTGATGGTGTCGTCTCCCGGAGGTTTGTTCATGTCACGATCGTGTCACCTCTCCGCCTCATCTCTGCCGATTGAATCACATCTCCGCCTCATCTCATCGTCATCTTCAATCGTGTGAGTGCACTTCCTCCGCCTATGCTCCTCCACACTCTTGAATCACCACTATCTCGTTCTTGTCGATACGACCTAAAACATCGTGATGTCTCTCCTTCCTTACATATTGTCGTAGATCTGGAATAGAAGTGTTAATTCATCAATCAAAGTGGCTTCATCGATTCATTCATATACAATCACCAGGCATCATTTATCACTATTTGTTTATACTTTTCAATTTTAGTCAGGTATGAAATTATTCATATGTGTATCATTGAGATGATAATTTTCTTTCTGATTAATGGATTTTTCTAATTTTTGCTCGATTCCTAAGCTCTAAATCACAATTATCGTATCCATTGTGGCATCGATTGTTTTCTAGAGTTCGAAATTGATTCTACTTTTACCTTGATGTATGTGTATCTGTGTATCAATTATTTGTATACAGTGATGGTGTTGTTGCACAATAAAGTATATGATGTTATTCACATTTCACAGTTTTGGTTGTGTTTTATGTTTCATTTCCTATAGCTTCATTAAGAGTTTGTTTTTGGGATAATGCAGAGAATTTAGAGCTGTAACATTTCTATTAGTCAAGAATGGGGAAGTCTCTTGGAAAGTGGATCAAGACTGTGTTTTTTGGGAAGAAGTCATCAAATTTTAATCTCTCAAAAGTAAGAAAAAGGTTACTTTTTGTACATCACTTGTCTGTTCTCTTAGTATGTGATCCTGATGTCATCTAATTTTTGCAGGATGCTACTTCAGAAATAACAGTATCCATCACTGGTAAAACACCATCAAACAATTTTGGTGTTGATTCAATGATCATCTCAAGTCCAGTGCACCCTGTAATTGATTCAAATGATCATACAGAACTTGAAAAGACCTCAAGTGCTAACGTAATAACCGATTCACCTGAAAATGATAATGCAAATGATTATACAGAACTTGTATAATTGATTGTTGCAATTAAACCCTAGAGTAGATGATGAGTTTGATAAATGATAATGCAAATAGGAGCACAGCAACCAAGGTACATGAATATTAATATTATAATCTTTTTATTTAAAAAAATGCAGAATCTTTACAAACATTCTAATATTTATATTATTTTTTGGACATAAACTAATTATATAGTGCACTAATAATCACCATCTGCTTCTTTAGTATTCTATTTTTGAATTTGTGTTTTGGAATTTAGCAAATCTCATATCGTTATAGAAAAAAAATCACATGTAATTCACATATGGATCACATGTGATTCACATGTAAATCATAAGTGAATCACATATGTATGACATGTGATTCACTATAACATCCCAAAAACCATGACCGGAAATTTCTTTTTAAAACATTACTAAACAATAAGTATTAAATCGTTTCAACCATAACTAAAGGGTTATATAACAAATCGGAGTATCATTTCAAAACACTTGTCCATTTTATCAGAGTAAACATCCCAAGCTAATCTTCTTGGTCTGTGTCATGAGATCATCCCGAGCTCTTCCCTCCGCTACCGGAAGTACCTGAAACCAAAACTGAAAACCGTAAGCACGAAGCTTAGTGAGTTCCCCAACCTACCACATACCATATACGCATAACCATGAACACATAACCACATATTGGGCCCCCGCCCGTTGCATCGGGCCTCGCCCGACCACGGACGAATCCGGCATCAAGCCCCGCCTGGCTTCGAGCCCCGCTCGGTATACAGATATGTTTCTCTTAGGCCCCGCCTGGGCCCCGCCCGCTAAACATTTACAAACATATAACCATAGCATTTAACACATAAACTAAACATAACCTATGTATTCCTGTTCTAAGGCCTCGCCTATCTTGGGCCCCGCCCCTGATCTGCTACAGAAGTAGTGGAACCCCGTCCATACTCCTACTAGTAGTGAGATACGGGCCCCTGCCCACACTCACATCCTTTCTATCATGGGCCTCGCCTCCACTCTGCTAACAATCGAGATATGGAACCCCATCCATACTCAGCTAGTGATGAGATACGGGACCTCGCCCACACTCACCTCCCTACCAGGCACATACAAGTATCACGTAGACAACAAGTATAATCTAACATACAACATAAGAATCTTCCTCGGGATTACCCCGGCATCGGACCCCCGGTCCGGAGACATACTATTATCTATCATTGTTAGGCGTTTCAAACCCAACAAATAAAGGGGTACAAATGACTCCAAGTACACTATTATATTGCACTAGAAAAATAGTACAAGGCAAGTAGGATCGATCCACAGAGACACGAGATAATTAGTATATACCTCTTTGCGTAAGGTATTTGTTCACAAAAGATTAAATAAGGGGGGGTTTGAATGTAATGATGTAGTAAACCAATTTAGAACATGAGTAAACAACTAAACTAATGAATTAAGTTCAGATTTTGTAAGGACTCCAACTCCATGTATGACAATCCAGCAATGTGAATCAAAGATGACAAAACATTTGTTTCATTCTATCTAAGTTGGTACTTGAAAGTGTTAACAAGCTCTAACACTTTCCATTCACCACATTAATCAATCAAAACAAGCTCTTTGATTAATCCTAACCTTATTAACCTAATCTAAACAAGCTCTTAGAAGTAGATTAAAAGATTGCATTAAGCTTATTGTGAATATTCCCAACAACACCCAATACTCCTCACAAGCTCGGGAGCGTAAGAATGTGTGAAAAGATTTACACTAAATTCATTCATAAGAAATCAATTTAATGCTTGTTACTTAGTTCAATTCACAAAACAATTACGGATTTTGCAAAATGAATAACTTGAATGACCTAACCCCAATTCAAATGGCCAATAAGAATTATTAGAATCAAACATTCGATTGAAGTAAAATCAATTTCACTAGATAGAATTTAAACACAAACATCAGGTCATATGATTTGATTCACAACCAAAAAGTCAAAACATGAAATTGGAGAAGTTAGGGTTCTAGCCACGCATGGCTAGAACAAGATCACAAGTCTAAAGGATGAAATTAAGTGTGATTACAACTTACAAAAACGAGAATTAATGTTTCCAAATGATTAACGGACAAACCCTTGCAAAAACCTTCGAATTCTCCTCTCCAATGGTGCTCTGATATCTTGTCTCCCCCCCAAAATGACCCAATTTTCCGTAATATGAAAAATAGAAAAACTGCCAAAAGTTAGTTTTCTTAGGCCGAACACGGCCCGTGTTCAGCATAAGGCAAAAAGGGCACGGCCCGTGTTAAGCTTGGTCAGCAGCTTTCATTTTTGGTCAACACGGCCCGTGTTGAACATAGAGTAAATCTGACACGGCCCGTGTTCCCCTCTGACTCCGAATCCAAACTTGATTTTTCCAACTTTTTCGTTCTTCGCCCGATCATCCCGAAATCTTCACCAATGCTTCCCGACACTTCCCAAAGCGCGTTCCAACCTCCGGTTTACCTGAAAAAGACATGAAAGTGTGCAAATAAGGTTGTTCTAGAGACTAACATGAATATGATGAAATGCAAGAAAAAGGAAAGAACAATTAAGCTAAAAACATACATACAAAGGCTAAAGGTTGTGCCAAAAGGTGCACAAAATGCACCTAACAAATCTCCCCAAGCTTAGACCTTTCTTGTCCTCAAGAAAGAACAAGAATCAGACAAAACAGGACGATTTCTAGATGACAGAAAGAAACTTAGAACAAAAGGGGACGGGAAGGTTCTAAGGACTAGGGATGAATGCATGCAATGCAAACAATGAAAAAGGAAAAGAAAAATTATGTACAGAAGCACTAAAGAAACAAAATGTATCAAAAAGAAATTTAAGGCACAAGTAAATAATCTATACAAGTACGATCAGACTTTACATCAATATTGCTCCAATCATTAATACCTAGGCAACCATCCTGCTTCCTTCCATATATCACAGACTCCCAAAGTGAGGAAGACCCGAAACGGTGTAACCCAATAATCCAACCCTAGTTTTATTAAAACTTTATACCTTACTAAGCTTTATGAGTGAAAATAACATAGTCCGGATCTCATGTCCTTAAGACTAGATGGCCAAGAATCAGAATCGACGCATCCTTAAGAACCCGTCACGGCGAATCAGCTTTCGCTGAAACAGTGAGCCCACCCGAAGGAGCCCAGCTCCTATGCTTTCACTTTTTCGAGAGCCACAAGTATCATATCACACAGTTCTTCATTCGCCAGATTTGACTTTGAATTGGCTTTTGATTTGATTGAACTTTGATTTGTACTTCGTTTTGAATTTGGATTCTTCAATCTTCATTTTTGGAATTTCTTGAGATTTCTTCGTTTTGGCACTTGAAATTCTGATTTGGGTACTAGATATGACAGTTGTACCCTTCCTTCTTTCTTGACTGTGTGGATCTGATACTTAAGCTCTCTGTCACCGCGAGGGTGACGCGTGTCAACAAATAGGTCCGTGTTCTATGGTCCAGAGTTGCCGATAAAGATTCTTTTTAAACATTCAGAAGCAAATCATCCTAAAGCTGTTATTACCGCCCAAAAAACGTTTCAATATAATTTATTTTTATTATCTAAGGCTAGGGTCTCGAATTACGGTGTTTGGGTCCCCTAGTTATGACAGCTGATTCTGCACTTCCGGTAACTATCCGGTTGCTTCGGTATTTTTTCATTTTGATTTCTCATTTTTCCACTTCATGGATCTATTGTATGTAAAGAGTGTCATCATTTCGTACATTTTTTTTAACAATGCATGAAAATGATGGAAAGAAAAATATTTTTGGGTTTTATAAATGCAGAATGCAAGGAAATGAAAATAAGAAAGGAGTTTTTTTTTCTATTAAACAATGCATGCATGAATATGGATGTGAACATGAAAATGCAACATGATGAAAACGCACCTAATGTACAACTCTACCCCTCCCCAAGCTTAAAGATAAGCATCGTCCTCGATGCTTGGAGAGGGCGGAACAACCTATTGCGGAGGAGGAGGAGGAGGATAGTAGTTGTGATTTCGGGTCCAAGCCCAAAAAGTCCTCCTCATGTTTGCGCTGACGCTCTTGGTCTCGAGCGTATTGAGTGGTGAAGGCGGAAAAACTGTGGGTTAGGTTCGTGACATCTTGATGGTAAGTGTCGAGGCGGGTATGGATCGATTGGAATTGATCCAAATATTGCTGGTGATATGACGGGTATTCAGCATGATGAGATGAGGTAGCACCATCCATGGGAGGGGAGTTTTGTTGTGCCGCCCCGTCACTCTCCTCATCTTCCTCCTCTTCCTCTTCCGTGAAGGTTCCGGGGAAGAGATATGGCTTGATTTGCCAGTCGGTGAAATTATTAGGACGCCTGAGGGCAAGGATGTCTTTGTTCTCCGGGGTGATGAGGAGCCTTGGATCGTGGTTTTGACCCACGGTCCAATTATGGTTCCCGTCCTCCTCCCGGAACATTCTCATAGATTCTAGAACTACCGTGGTCAGGTAGGTCTCACCAGGCAGGGGTTGGTGAGTTCCGGGGTATGGGGCCTGAACTGGAGCACTTTTTGCCAATAAACTGACAATGCCACCACAAGATATTTTGCCGGACCGTGATGTGCTGAGGCGGGTGAGTTTGTTAGAAAGGAATGAGCCATAGTGAGGAATGAGATTATCGTCCGGGTGGGCCATCGCATAGAGTATTTTGAGCTCAAGGGCGCTAATGGTGCTTCTTTCTTCTCTAGGGACGACAAGTGAAGCAACGATCCTGTGGGCCACTTTCATCACAGGGTGGATGAGAGATGAGGCCTTAGCAGAACTTGAGACATAGGGAAGCTGATGCGTCAGGTCGGTCCACCACGTAAGATCACTGTATCCTGGGATTGGGTCATTGGGGCCAAAGGTGTTTTCTGTGGGGGCCCCAACTATGGCATTGATTTGGTCTAAGGACAAGGCATGGTCTTGGTTCATAAGCCGGAAGCTTAGGACACCGTGGTCCAAATCGACTGAAGATAAGAACTC